CATTCCTTTAACTTAGGATATGCTACATTCACACAGCCCTCGCTACTTTAGGGAGTTTGAAGAGGAAATGTGAAATATTTGAGAAATCGTTTCCCGAAGAGGGGGGAAGAACATGCAATGATTTATAAACCGAAAGATCTTAGGATATAGTCATGTGTCGCTTAACCACAAGGACATGTTGAGAAATGGACTGTTAGGCAATTTTGTCACTGTATGAACATCATAGGGTGTACAGTACTAACACAAACCTAGATAGCAGCCTTCTACACACTTATTGCTCCAAGGCTACAAACTTGTACAGTATGTTACTGTACTGAATACTGTAGGCAACTGTAATACTAATCATTAGGCAACAGGAATTTGTCAGCTCCCTTATAATCTTATGGGACCACGGTTGTATACATCGTCCATCATTTGACCAAAATATCCCTGTGTGGTGCATGACTGTATTTTCATTCACACTTAAATACGGACATGGTAATTCATTCTTCTGAGCAGACCCAACTTAAAACAACTTTGTTGCTCTCTGCAGCAACAACTTTTAAGCATAAAACAACCGTGCAAAATCATATACTAAACAAGTTTTGGCTAACAATTCACAATAAATGACACTGTTAGACATAGACATCAACGGAATTTTCTTAGAGCTGTTAAAGAGCTCCGTTTTCCTAGTTCTCCTTCGTTGGAATTTTAACTTATTAGACATTTGGCCTGGTCTCTCTCCTTATCCAGCATTATTTATATTCCTCTACAACAAAATACACTGATGCATAATTTAAAAAGCAAAACATTAAAAAGCAAAGCATCAAATACAAAATAGCTCTGTGATTTAAAAGCATTTGATACAATTTAGTTTGGAATATGACAAATGTACATTAGTAACAACCCAGGAAAGGTTTGATGTTCATTAAGAGCACATGTTCAATTTCAAGCATCACCGCACATCAACTCTGGAGTCTGGGCTAGCGAGGGCAGAAACAGCACAGACGACCCCCACACGCTGCCCCCATCTCTGTCGTCTTACTCTTCAACAGGGGCGTGTGTCATGTTTCACAACTACTTTCAAACACAGATTTTTAAGATTTCAAGTTTCCCTTTGTGGCTTCCTGGCTCGGTTATTCCTATGGAAAAATGGCAAACATCCCCTCTCAGACTGACACAGACCACTCACTGAAACACACATGCCGCCCCAACCCCACAGGGGCCTTTCGTTCGGATTCATCCCCGTGGGGCAGAAGTCACTCAGTGCCCCAGTCTACATGCTATTCCCTCGCTCTTCCCTCCCATCTGCTCCTCCTCGCAGTTTACTCATAAGAAGAAACAGGCGATGGAACAAACACTAACACATAATCTACACCGAGAAGATGACTTCGCCACAAAGGAGGTGAAAACAGAACTCAGTGATGTGGATAGTCTACAAGTAACCAAGAGTTGAATGTATTTCATTTCAAAGTGCCTTCTATGTGATTCCCATGCTTCTTTTGATTTGCCTTCCTAATTTGTGTTTCACTTCCGGTTGTAGAAAAATTAGTTATATTTATTAAGCAGACTTAGTAGGGGAGATGGAGCAGAAATGTGGGCAGTCAAAATAAATGAACTTGAGGTTAAAAACCAACTATGTATATTATTCTAAGAATTTTTTAAGGAATTTTTTTTTTTAAGGAGACAGGGCTATGTTGCCAAGGCTGGCCTTGCACTCCTGGGCTCGAGCCAACCTCCTGCCTCAGTCTCCCAAGTAGCTGGGACTACAGGCACATACCACCACACCCAACAAAAAGGAATAGATTCAATGTCTAAACTGTTCCCTTCTCCCTTTTTCCCAAAAGTTAATAAATGAATATAATGATAAACATAAAAGTCACTTTCTTCGTAGAACCAGTTTGATAATACAAGTCAAATAAGAAATCAATATATTTCTTAATAAAACTAGAATTATACTCAGTTAAAATGTTGCTTAAAAATCAGTGGGCGTACACTTAAAAATATGCCCGTTAACAGGGAATCTGTGGTAGTGGATCTGACTTATAACAAATTGAATATATTTTATCAGTTTTAGAAAGTAAATCTGTAAGTAAGAAACTATGACAAAAGGAAAAAAATTCCAACAATACCACTTTCCCCAAGCCCATATGATCCCAAAAGTGACTACTATTGCTGCATTATTTGACAGGAAGTAATACTGATAATTGTCAGCAATTACATTCTATATATTCAAGAAACAGGCTCAAAAGAATGACCTATTTTAAAGCAAACTATACTTCTGCACAGATAATGAAAACAGCTTTATAACTGGCCCAGTCGAAATCTGCAGGGGCAGTGGGGGGGGGGGTTTTACACTACATCCATGCAAAATAATTACAAGCACTGTATGAAGCAACGTCTTCCTCCACTAATACCGGCAACTGAGAGGCCCCGACCTTCAGTATTTCACAAAGCAGGTTAACAATTAGACTTTAACATTCTTAGAGCATAGCAAACTAATTACCAAATCACATCTAAAGTCATATGACGGAGTGGGATGAGTAGAATGTTTTAAAATACTTAAAAGGAAGCATTTCTTATTTTAAATAGAGACTGAGAAAATTTCCCAGGAATGGGAGGTTTTCCTTTGCGAAGTAAGTTCAGGAAGAAAAGCATAATTACAATACTCTCATGACTTTGAACTTAGAATGCACATTTTTAAAAGCATCTCACCATGCACTTCTCATTATAGGTTAAAAATAAAGTTTTAACTTCGAAATCTATACAAAGGCTTACACCACCCTATCCTATGACAACAGGCCTTGCAATTAATACATTCTAAAAGTTATATTAAATAAATCATCTGGCTTTTAAAAACATACATGAAGCCCAAAATAATGATGGTTGGGCTATCATTTATTTACTTATTTTAAGAGAACTCCAAAACACCAAGATTACCTAAAATAATATATCTTGTATAAGGAATAAAATGTTTTTTTTTTAAAAAAAAAAAGTATTGCTTACTATCATCCTATTGTCATCAAAAGAATATGCCTGATCTTTTATGGAACTCTGACCATTCATAGAAGGGTATGCAATTGTCAGCTTGCTATTGCATCCTGGGAATGAATGCTGCCTGGCATTTCAAAATATTAAATTAGAAAATATTACACAAGGCCTAAATGAGACAGCTTATTTTAACTTGGCTACAAGGACAAGAATCTCAAGAGCTGGCTACCAAGCTTCTTGGTAGAATCAAACCAGAAGAAATAGCTCTTGTTTCTTAGATACACATAGCCATGTGCTGTGTAACACTGTTTTGGTCAACAACAAACCACAATACATCACAGTGGTCCCATATGACTGTAACAGCACTGACAATTTCCTCTTGCCTAATGACATCGTATGATCCTGACCCTCTGTAGGCGTAGGCTAATGCGTGTGTTTGTGTCTCAGTTTAACAAAAAATTTAAAAAGGAAAAGAGATTCTTGAAATAGAAAAAAGGCTTATAGGCTATTAAGGATATTAAGAAAATATTTTTATCCCACCATACAATGTGTTTTAACTAAATGTTATTACCAGAGTCCAAAATTTTTTTTAAGTTTTTTAAAGTTTATAAAGTAAAAAGGTAAGCTACAATTAATTTATTCTTCAAGAAAAATATTTTTTATAAACGTAGTGTAGCCTAAGTATACAGTGTTAATAAAGCGTAGAGCAGGGGGTCTTCAAACTTTTTAAACAGGATGCCAGTTCACTGTCCCTCAGCCCGTTGGGGAGTGCGGCACACGTTCCACACATGCGCACTGTGGGCCCAGGAGGAGTCGGCTGCTAAGCAGGACAGGCAGCAGTGGCAAAAACACCTGGCGGGCCGGATAAATGTCCCTCGGTGGGCCACATGTGGCCCTCGGGCCTTAGTTTGAGGACGCCTGGCTAGAGTAATGCCCCAGGCCCTCACATTCACTCACCACTCCCTCCCTGACTCACCCAGAGCAACTTCCAGTCCTGTAGGCTCCACTCATGAAAAGTGCCCCAGACAGATGTACATTTTTATCTTTTGTATCATATTTTACTATGCCTTTTCTATGTTTGGATATGTTTAGATGCACAACTTACTAATGTTACAACTGCCTGCAATATTCAGCCCAGTAACACACTGTACAGGTTTGCAGCCTAGAAGCAACAGCCTGTACCACATAGCCCAGGTGTGGAGCAGGTAGTACCTTCTAGGTTTAAGTGCTGCACACTCTGTGATGTTTGTACAATGACAAAATCACCTAACACATTTCTCAGAACAAATCCCCATCCTTAAGCAACGCATGACTGCAACACATGATGCTCCTCTCTCTGTATTTCTGACTTCTAACTTTAACTTAACAACCTGTGAATCATGCAACTTTGTATTTTTATTATGAACTGCTTCTACTTTACAGCCTTAGCACTTTAAAATAAAATGTTAACTCTGGGCTGAGGCCTTACGGTTTTTCTTTTCCCATCAAGAGCTGACCTTGGTGTGTTAAAACTCAGTAAAATCCATTAACTTGATCCAAAAATAGACGTTAAAAAGAAATAAACCAATGTTATTCACAAAATGCTTTCTTATGTCTTAAGAAATATAAAAAAGAAGCAGTGCACACTGAGTACCAATCAGGGGTTACCACACCAAAAGTATAGACAGCTTTAACACAGGGCAAGTTCATGATACACCCACACCATGGAGAACTGCTTGATCAAAAGACAAGACATGGAAATGTAATTTGCCAATAGGAAAAGACTACCAATACACGTTAGGTTTTCACCTAACATAAAGGTATGTATGACACCTACCTCCTCCCATTTTGTTTCTATGTTGTCTTACTTTTAGACAACATTCAAGACACATTCTTCAGAAATTCCTATGAATACACGAGTAATCTATTATCGCTATGGGTAACAATCTACCTCCACAGTTCATAAGCCCAGACTGTCTTAAATTTCGCATTCAACAGTCAATGCAATTTGCTCCCATCTTCACTCTCCATTTGTATCTTTTTAACTATACCTGCAATCTTTATGGCTACAGGATCCTCTGAAACTGGAACAAGCCCTTCTTTGACTTCAACCTGCTTTTCAGAGACCAGGGGAGATGTAGAAGGAGGGGAATACTTGGTTTCCACATACGCCACAAGCGAAGAGGAAGGAGGCTTAGAATCATGGAAGAGACTGGCCCAGGACTTGGGCTGGCTAATGGGAATGGCGCCGGAGGCAGAGCAGGCGCCGTCAGCAGGAGGTGAAGCACTCTCGGGTTTGGTGGGGTCCAAGTCTATGCTTTCCGCGGTGTGCAGCTCCACCCCATTGGCAGCTGTGCCCTCACCCGAGGATTCAAGTATTTGTCCATTAGCAACTCCAAGGTTTTCAGTAGTATCGGTACCAACACAGGGCTGAGCCCCAGCTGTCCTCAACAGGTTGTCTCTAGCAGCCTCTGCAGGGAAGCAGGACTGATCAAAATCAGTCCCGTGGACCCCCTCAGGCTGCTCTGCAGTCCTGGTGTCGCTGCTGAGTGCTCCGGGGAAAGGACCATCAGGGACACTGTCACTGACGGAGTCCGTGGAGTTCTGAGGGCTGTTACAAGTCCTGGGCGTAACCGATGGAGGCATGTCGCCCATAAATTCTGCATCCTCTGTGCTGACGCTGTTCAGGACTGCTGAATTGGTATGGCCATTGACCAGAGCTTCTGGGGAAATACTATCTTCGCCACCATCCTTCAAGTAACTGTAATATCCAGGTGGCCGTTTTTTCTTCTTTTTACGCTCCCTTTGTCCAAGACCACCTGAGACACCATCGTTTTCCAAAACTTCCACCTCCACATTAGAACTGCTATCCACAGCCAGGCCAGAGCCTGGGTACTGGCAGTCCATGGAGCTGTAGCTGGCTTCCTTATCTAGGCCATCAGGGCTCGTTTTGGAAGTTGTACAACCGAGAATAAATTCAGGGGCCTGAGGGTTCAATGTGCTTGAAATACTGTAGCTAGGGTTTCTCTGCAATGTGTCATTGGGTTCAATTACTTCATTAACACCAAATTCAATCCTCTGGTATTCTTGTCCTATTGAGAAAGAAAACAATTAGTTAAGAACACAATTCTATAAATTATAAAAGTACCAATAATTACTCATTTCCTTTCTGAAAACCTAAACTTTAAATTCTTTTCCTAATTAACAAAGCTATGACATTATTTTATTTTTGCACTGAAGAATTTGCTGAAAATAAATAACTACAAAATTATATTTAATTTGAGGATATGAAAAGTAGAAGCCTGTACTTATCTTCCTAACTAAGGAAGATTTTTCAGAAGGTGGGAACTAAAATAAACTTGTAATGAAAAGCAAATAATATCTTGCCAGTTAGGATGGAGTGGTGGCCAAAATAAAAATAAGTAATACTCATCAAGGCCAGGCGCGGTGGCTCACGCCTGTGATCCTAGCCCTCTGGGAGGCCAAGGTGGGATGATGGTTTGAGTCAGAAGTTCATTTGAGACCAGCCTCAGCAAGAGCGAGACCCCACCCTGCCTCTACTGAATAATAGAAAGAAATCAGCTGGGCAATAAAAATAGAAAAAATTAGCTGGGCATGGTGACACAGGCCTGTAGTCCCAGCTACACTGGAGGCTGAGGCAGGAGGATCGCTTGAGCACAGGAGTTTGAGGTTGCTGTGAGCTAGGCTGTCACCACGGCACTCTAGCCTAGGTGACAGAGTATGACTCTGTCTCAAAAAATAAATACATAAATAAAATGAAACAAAAAACAAAAACACCAAACCTCAATGGAATCCAAAGCTTCCTTAATGCCTAAAATAAAGGAATATCTATTCTGAACAACTTAGTTTTTAAAAACCATAACTAACTTAGGGACTTAAAACATTGTTTTATCAGCTTCTCTAGTTAATGTGATTTGTAATTCCAAAACCAGGAACTACACAAAGAATCTTGCATATAAAAGTACTCTCAAACTCTTGGTCTCCCTCCATTGAGAATTTAAATGAACTCTGAAAACTGGCCCTTATATTAACACAATTAAATGTACACTAAACAAATTCATATTAAATTAACTCCACAGGTGGTGAAGATACTTCAAAAAATACTGAAAGATAAAAGTTAGAACTAAAAACTTTTAAGTATCTCTTCGGAAGCTTTCAATGAATACTTCCTCCCAGTTAACCACAATCTATGTATATACATTGTTTCATAGTTCTTACCTCTGAAATTAGGTTGAGTATTAGAATCAATTGTGTCTTTCAACAGATATAGAATATCAATATCATCTTATATTTGACAAAAAAAATTTCATTTTTAATGCAAATTTGCCATTTTTTTCAGTTTTGGTTTAGGGGGCCATTTTTTTTTTCATGGCATGTTATTTCAAGAAAAGAATCATAATACCCAAAGAATGGTGTTCTCCTGCAGAGACCTGAATGCATTTTACATCTTAGAAGGATCCTTAGAAATTTTTTTGTAGAATACAGGCCCAGAGAGGGGCCAGTTAAACCTCAGTTGGTAGGAAGGAGGAAGACGGGCCTCCAGACTCTTAATTTGTTTTGATATCACAGCCTTTGGGGTGGGGGTGGGATCCTGCCCAAAACAACAGAAAGTTTCACAAAAGAATTCTGCTGATGCTTACACATAACAGCAAGTTCACATATAAAGCCAGACATTCTGACCCCCTTTTTTGTCTGTTTCTTTACTTTAAAAAGAATCACCAAAGAGAAATAAATTTGTCATTATACCTAGGGGTTGACTGTCCCTTTTGCCTCCAGGCATCACCTTTCTGAGGCTGCCAGCGCACGTGGACTGAAACCAGAGTGACTAGAGAAGGGCGCTCCACACCCGGGCTACCCTTGTCGAGACTGTGGTGTGCGCTGTGAAATCACACTAAAAATCAGTATGTGCTGTGTCATGTAGCGTACGCAAGACTGATTATTTCCAACAGGCACAGGGCCTTTTACATCGCAATCCTCAACCTTATCAGAACATAAAACATTCTAGGCTGTGATGTGACATGAACGGAACCACTTCAGTACGCTACAGCTATCATCACAACATTTACCCAAGCTGTGCTCGGTCGCATCCCTGGAAGGCAGATTCCTAGCCAGAACAGTTCCTCCTCGCATCGAGGAACGCACACTACGCACACCCGCTGCACCGCACAGCGGAGAGGTCGGACACAGCACGGTCCGCCAGGCTGGAGGAGCAGGGAAGGCCCGCACACTCGGCTCACACGGACAGCCCCATCAGTACAGTGGGGAGACAGAAACGCGACACTCAATCATGCAGTCAGCGGGCTTGCCAGTGGGAGGAGAATCAGCTCAAAAAAAATGACACCTAACGCATCATTTCTCAAAGTTTACCTGTTGCAGTGCATGCAGTACAGTGGCCTGGGGTGGGGGAGTTTGAGAGGGGACATTCCAGAGGGATGCGGTCTCTGCTCAGGGAGTCTTACATTTACTAGGGAGACAAACATAAATGACTAAGGACAACAACACAGAGGAAAAGTGAGATCAAGCTATGAATAGCTTTATAAAAAGAGTGATTCCAGACAGGGAAACGATGATCAGTTTCAATCAGAAGCTATAGAGAGGCCAGTGGAACTTAAAAGACAACTGAAACTGGGTGGGCTGGGGAGGCAGTATAGGAACAGGATATCTCAACCCACTTAGGAACTACCTAAAAAAGGCAGGGGTATAAAGTGAATGCCGTGACGATGGGCCCCCCAGGCGGTTTGCCGTAGCTGGCTCTGGTGGGAGGCAGCAGGGTAAGCATTCTAAATCATTCACTCCACACACTGAGGGTTTACAAAATTCCAGACACTGCACTGTGCAGCTGACAAGACATAAAGAAATGAATGCAGTCCCTGCCATCAGCAGCTGAGCATTGTCAGAAGGCAGGCAGACTCATGACAGCACCCACAGGCACTGTGCCGCGGGACAGGCGCTGTAAGAGAATCAGAGGTAATGGTAAAAACAAGAGAACCAAAAAGGCTTCAGGGAAAAAGAGGCCTTTACACGGGCCTGTCACTAACCATGCAAGCAGGTGGCAAGATTCCAGTTATGTTTTTGGCAGAATAAAAGATGGACATTGAGGGAAGAAGAGTAGAGAATGGGAAAAAAGCCAAGAACCAGTGACGGGGAAGTGATGAGGGCCTGGGTGGAGGAAGGGAGTAAGAGAGGGTGGGGAAGCAGAACTCCAGAGGCCATGTGGGGGGTGAGGGTGGGGGTGTGTGGCATCAGGCCTCCAGGAGGCGGGTGGGGCTGTTAACTGAACTAAAAAGAAGAAGCCATGTGGAAGAGAAAACACGATGGGACATTTGTAAGAATGAGATAAACATCTCCCGTATGCTCACTATGTGCAAAGCACGTAGTGCCTCAGATGCCCGGGAGTCTGAGCCACCAGCAGATAACAAGGCAGCTGAAGGGGCTGAGCAGCCTGGCTTTGGAGTCCCCGGAGCTGCACTGACTTTATTACTCATCCCAACCTATTGTAGGATCTGCTCTTTCCCATATGGACTCCTGTATTACTGTTTCTTATAAACCTGCTAATCATTTTGGATATAATCACTTTCTGATGTTTCTATGGATAAAAAGTTTTGGTTAGTCTTTTCAAGGTTATATTTAAACCTGAATTATAATTAAAACCCCTTTCATAAGTCTAACCACGCTAACTAAACAGGGAATCCAAATCCAAATCCCTGGTTCCCTAAGAAAACATTTGGCTTCAGTTTCTGAGAGGCCAGCAAGGGCCTTTGAAGTGATCCTGACTGAAATACTGTCTAGACAGGTCTGAACTGTGCAAGGGCAGCCTGCAATAATTAAATGACCCTGCCTGTATTCCAACACTGAGTTCTTAAACAATACAAAATCACTACACCTCAATAAGCACCATCTCTAGTACTCAGCTCAGCGTCAGTGTCCGAGGCCAAGAAAAAGTAACAGACCAGGAGGTGCAGAGGTTACTGAGTGCACGAGAAAGTCAGCAACAGGCTGGGACCTGAATAAATGTAAACTGCAAGAACAATGAATCCCAGCTGTCACTGAGCTGTACAAAGAACACAGGCTCACAAACTAGCCAGCTCTAGACCCAGGCTGCTTAGCAACAAGAAAGCCCGCTAAGGAACTTCAGCATGTGGTTTTGAAGAATAACAACATACCTGTTGCACTGAGAGCTGTTAAAAAATCAAAAATGGAACTAAAGCAAGGCTTGGTGGCTCACACCTATAATCCTTGCACTCTAGGAGGCAGAAGTGGGAGGATCACTTGAGGTTAGGAGTTTTAAGACCAGCCTGAGCAAGAGTGAGACCCCATCACTACTAAAACTAAAAAGATTTAGCCGGGCATGGTGGCCCCCGGCCTGTAACTCCCAGCTACTCAGGAGGCTGAGGCAGGAGGATCACTTGAATCCAGGAGATGGAGGTTGCTGTGAGCTAGGCTGACGCCACGGCACTCTAGCCTGGACAACAGAGCAAGACTCTGTCTCAAAAAAAAAAAACAACTAAACAACCACTTCCTAAACTAAATCTTAAAAGTCTGGCTCTCTGAAGTACAGAATAGACTTTAAAACTAATTCATTAGTGTAAGTGATTCAGTGATTAAGTACGCTGCAGTTTACAGCAAAAACTTCAAGCTGTAAGGAAACATTTATTGAGAAAGTATGAACAAATGGGAAAACAACGTTTGCAGGTAGCCTGCCCACCCAGCCTATACGGCCAGAATTTATGTCGGGGAAATAAGAAGAGAACTACCTTACCTTCAGGGAGGTCATCCACAGCCTGCGTGCCACACAGCACTGTCCCACTGTACGGAGGAAGCTGCACGAGGGATCAGAAAACAGAGTTTAATTCAACAAAATGTTAAAACCCAACACATGCTATTTCATTAAGGCGACACTTCATTAAAACTCTTTACTCGTGCAACTTTCAAGACATTACTTTTACCAGAATAACACGCATGAAGAATCACTAAAACCTAGATGATTTAACTTAAGAAAAATACAATATAGGAATGCTTTCAAATTATTTATCGCTATTAAACAGGTCTAAAAATGAGGCCCCAAAATCAAAATGAACACCAATGGACATGTAAATCAGCTACAATAAAATGCTTACAATGCATCCTTTTCACAGGATGTTAGTGACTGTCCTTGAAGGCCACAGACACTTTTGTTTGTCCCTAGTAAAGATGACTGACTGACCACTCACTGCAGCAAAGCCAGGAGACTCTGGGACCAGGTCAACGGGCAGAGAGCAGAGAAGAGCCCATTAGAAAAATAAACCCGGGAACCCTGGCTCCCTTTTAACATAATGCCTTAAATAACTGAATTAACGGTTAGAAGTCACATTCCTTGCTTGGAGAGAAAAGGCAATATGGCAAGTGCCTGACCTCTTTGTAAAAAGCAGAAGAGTATTATGAACATCTCAAATTTCTGTTCTTCATAGCTATTCCATAATATTTATTTAAGAGTTAGAAATGCTTCCAATGGACATGTTTGGAATAAGAAGGTTTAGGAAGGAAAGGGTAAGGTAAGTGAACAGACAACTGCTATCTGAAGACAGAACAAAAGAACAAAACAGAACGATGGCGCCCTGGTGCAGCATTTCTCCGTCTGCTCCCTGCAGTCCGATGGCCCCTGGATGGGGCCCAGTGACGCTCATGCTCATGCCCACTACCGTCTGACAACTGCTGCCTAGGCGGCTTCCTCAGCTCATTTCTCCAGTGAACTCCTAGCACGCCAATTCAATAATCACAGATTTAAAAGCTGCTCTCTCCAAGAAACCCAGTACATTCTCTCTCCATAGAATTAACAACAAATAGGAAGCTGAGGAAACAGGGCGATTCAAAAGGAACCCAGCACCTTCAGGACGTGAGACCTGCACATACTTCCTCCACCTGGGGCACCCCAGAAGCACTGAGTGCTGAGACGGGCTACAGCTGACCCAAGCCCTGCAGCCAAGGACCACTGTCACACGGCCGGAGCAAAGAGGTGTGTTGTCTGTGAGGGCGTGTGCACAGTGGCCACACGTGTCTGAGGAAGCCACAAAAGACAGTTTAGAAACTCTGACACCCAGAACGCCTTCTCTTTCTTTGTCAATGACACTAGGGTGCCCCCTGGTGACGGAAAGCTATGCTATTTTGAGGCACAAAGAGCATTTTCAATCACTGTATTCACACAAAATCACTGTAACATCAAGAAACTGTCTTTTTCTGAGCCAAAACAAAGTTTTATAATCCCACACATCAGAATAAAGTTCTCGTGAAACGTACTGTATTCTGCTTTGCTTGGGGAAGAGAACAGTGAGGAAAACCTTCGGACCTGAGAGAGCGCAGCAGGCTGAAAGACTCACGGTTTGGAGAAGGGACCTGAGCACCCATCCACTTGCAAGCCCAGTGCAGACAGAGCTGCTGGAGCCCTGAGAGCCATGCTTCACCAGCCTCCTCCCCAAACACTGCGCCGTGGACAGGATACCTGCCTCGACTCCCAACCACTCCCTAGCAGCGCGCAGAAGAAAAGCCCATCAATATCGAAGGACAAGCAGACGAGGCTGAGGACAAGCAAGTAGAGAGGCTGGACCAGTGACATCTTTAGGCATGTGGCACCTTTCACTCAACAATGTCTGCCACACAGAGGAAGCTCCTTAGTCTGTGGCAATCGGCTACATAAACATGCAGTAGAACAGAAGTGTAAGAATGGTTCAAACTTGGCTCTCTGTAAGAATAAAAAACTCAAAAATCAAAGCAAAAACACAAAATTCCCACACATATGCAAACTGAGCCAAGGTAAAAAACTGAAATCTATTAATAGTTATATCAGACAGAAAGTCGGCAAACAGTACTGCAGTCTTGCGAAGGCAATTCTTGGGCCCTCAGCTAAAAAGGCAATGTTCTCAAGTTGTCTTCTGAGGATGCTACTCTGAGTTCTGCTCTAAAAGACGCTCGTGAAATCCCAAAAGACACCAAACAGAAAACTGTCTGAACTCTGCACTGGCACCCACACACATGCCTACAGCCTGTACTACCTTACTGTAGGCTTATTCATTCAGTAATAGTTGAGGTGTGTGTGTTGCCTCCAATGTTGACATTCTGGAAATCTGGAATAATAATGAACATTTCCTATTTCTGAATGTCAGCGTCATGATTATGACCAGGGCTCAAGCATGCTTATTAAATAAGTTGACTATTTTTATTTATTAAATTCATTTTTAAATGACCTTGACTTATAAACTAGAGCACAGGGCTGGGCACGGTGGCTCACATCTTTAATCCCAGCACTCTGGGAGGCCCAGGCAGGAGGATCACTTGAGCTCAGGAGTTCGAAACCAGCCTGAGCAAGAGTGAGACCCCATCTCTACTAAAAACAGAAAAAATTAGCCAGGCATGGTGGCTTGTGCCTGTAGTCCCAGCTTCTCAGGAGGCTGAGGCAGGAGGATCACTTAAGCCCCGGAGTTTGAGATTGCTGTGAGCTAGGCTGATGCCACGGCACTTTAGCCCAGGCAACAGAGTAAGACTCTGTCTCTAAATAAATAAAATACACACACACACACACAAATATAATTCAGACTCCTGAATTGTAATACTGAGAAAGAAAACCCAATCCAATCATGCTAACTAGACTGTATTTCCCTTCTGCAGGCTACTGTGATTTTGATAGACAACAGGTCTGGCATAACTTTACCATCTACAACCATTATTTCTACTAACATTTGTTGCATACTAGGTATCAGAACATACATTAGCTGATTTCCCAACATTTCTATGAAATAAATAAGCATTTTTCATTTTTCCAATTAAAAAAGAAAAGCAAGAGAAAAGAAAGAGGGGTGTGAAATAAAGGAAAGTGCCCAAGACGGCTCAGCCTGTTTAAGTCAAAATAATCTCAGGTCTTCAGACCTAAAATATGGTACATCTTTTACTTTCGTATCATATAAAAACCCAAGTTTTAATTCTAATACTATCAATAAGATGCTAATTCTCCTGCAAATTAATCCATAATTTTAATGCAATTCTAGTCAAAATTTTAATAAGATTTTTCACGGAACCTGACATACTGATCATAAATTTGTAACGAAGAATTGAGGATGAAAGATAGCCAAACTCTTGTGAAATTAGGGTCAGAGGTTGGTGTCTGCCCTACCAGAGGACTGATCATAAAGTTGTAGCAATTAAAACATGTGGTATTTAACATTAGTGTCACTAAAGTTGGTATATAAGCCCACACTGCTAATGTGACTGGCATAAACAAACAAAGCCGTGTGGTGTCATACAGAGACAAGCAAGAGACACATGGAACAGGGCGCCCAGAACCAGACGGGGCCCACGCAGAGAGGTGCTGCCCGACAGGGAAGACAGCACAGCCGAGGACTGAGTTCTCAATGAACGATGTGACATAACTGCTAGTGCCATCGAAAGGTAGTCAGATGCCAACATCACACACACACACACAAATCAATACTTCGATTTCAGTTGTATTACACACTGAAGTGTGAAAACAAAATCTTAAAACTTTTAGAAAACAGACATATGTCTTTACTACCTCAGGGAAGGGAAAAATTTCTTAAAGATATTTTTAAAAAGTAAATATCTACAAGCCATGAGAAAAAATTCAATTCATTTGACATTAAAGTTAAAAATATACTCCCCTTACCCAGCAAAAAAGTAAAATGGAACATAATATATAAAGTTTAAAGGCCTTCATGCTAGAGATGCATATAATACGCAAAACCAAAGATTTTTAATCCTAATACAAATTTAAAAAAAAGACAAACTACTTGATTTTAAAATATGGACAAGGGCTATAAATCAGGAAATTCAAAGACGAAATCTATACTGCCAGCAGACATGCAAAAATGATGAAATGCTGTTTAACTGTTTGTAATCTGGGCGATACAAATTAAAACAATGAGAATTCATTTATTACACATCAGATTAACAACATCTTAAGTATGCCAATACTGAGAATTAGCAAGGATTTTTTTTTTAATTTGTTTGAGAAAATTCTCATGCACTGCTGTGGGAATGTAGACTGTTAAAATCCTTAGGGAGCTAAGTGGCAGTCTCTAGTAAAAGCAAAGATACTTATTCCCTGCAGAACCCAGCAATGCCACTCCTAGGTCTACATCCCAGAGCAGCAGGTCTACATCCCCAACCTTTCTGGCACTAGGGACCGGTTTCATGGAAGACAATTTTTCCATGGACCAGGGGTGGGGGAAACAGAGCTTGGGTGGTGATGCAGGGCCCATTTCCTAATAGGCCACAGGCCAGTACCAGGCCACAGCCTACAGGTTGGGGACCAAAGTCCTAGAAAAACTCACAGAGGAGCACAAGAAGACAGGATAACATATGTTTACTCTTTTTTTTTTGAGACAAAGTCTCGCTTTGTTGCCTGGGCTAGAGTGAGTGCCGTGGTGTCAGCCTAGCTCACAGCAACCTCCAACTCCTGGGCTCAACCGATCCTTCTGCCTCAGCCTCCCAAGTAGCTGAGATTACAGGCATGCGCCACCATGCCCAGCTAATTTTTTGTTTCATTTTTAGTTGACTGGCTAATTTTTTCTATTTTTAGTAGAGACAGGGTCTAGTTCTTGCTCAGGCTGGTCTCAACTCCTGACTGAGCTCAAGCAATCCTCCCGCCTCGGCCTCCCAGAGCTAGGATTATAGGTGAGAGCCACCTCGCCTGGCCTGTTTACTCTAATATTTTATTTATTTTATTTATTTATTTTTTTTTTTTTTTGAGACAGAGTCTCACTTTGTTGCCCAGGCTACAGTGAGTGCCATGGCGTCAGCCTGGCTCACAGCAACCTCAATCTCCGGGGCTCAGCGATCCTCCTGCCTCAGGCTCCGAGTAGCTGGACTACAGGCATGCGCCACCATGCGCTAATTTTTTGTATATATTTTTTAGTTGGTCGATTAATTTATTTCTATTTTTGGTAGAGACGGGGTCTCGCTCAGGCTGGTTTCGAACTCCTGACCTTGAGCAATCCGCCCGCCTCAGCCTCCCAAAGTGCTAGGATTATAGGCGTGAGCCACCACGCCCGGCTACTCCTAATAGTTTAAAACAGAAGAACTAAAAACCTAAATGGTCCTCAATAAGAAGATGAGTAAACTGCGGTATGTTTGTCCAATGGTTTTGAGCAATTAAAACAACAACAAAAAGAACAAGAACAAATATACCAGCATAGATAAATCTAAAGAATATAACATTATCTTAAAATGATGAATACAGTATAGTATACCACGTATGTCACATTTTAAAGCACATAAAACACAACTGACTATCTGGTGATAACACACTCATGTAGTGAAAACAACAGTGAGGAACCAATACTTACCAGTCTCAACAGAGCAGTGATTTCTGGGGAAGGAGGGGAAGGAGGTGGGGGAGAGGTGCAAGGGAGGCATCAACGGTTTCTGCAATGCTTTATTTTTTAAAGTCTAAAGCAAATACAGCAAAATGTTACTATCAGTCAAATCTAGCTGGTGTGTTCAAGCATTTCTCACATTAGTCTGCACTACTCTCTATATTGGAATTCTTTTCAAAAAAGCAAATTAAAAACTTAAAAGGAAAACATAACCATTAATTGTATCTACTTACTAAAACACAGTTTTATCTTACCTCAACTGAAGATCGAGGAGTCACAAAGAACTGATTAAATTCATCAGGGCTAAAATCTCCAAAAATATACTGAAAAAAATAAGAGTCACTGATCACATAAAATATACAAATAATACTTTGTAAAAAATGCTATATAACAATCCTATGAAACATTTGGGCCAGAATCCTCAAAATCCTTTCTCAATTAAATAAACTACGGATCTACAAACTGAGATTTCTAAGTGTAGTACTTTCCAATTACAAAAAAGAAAATACTATTTAACCTTTCCTATAAATTGTCAAAGAACACTACAAAATTGATAAAGCTTATTTTGAAACAAGTCAATTTTGTATGGTAAACTTGTAGAGTCCTGCTTGCAGGAGAATTTTTTGGTTCACAAATATTTCCAGTTGTTCCATTTACCTTTCTGCTGACTCATGCCACTACCTCCATTTCAGTTTTCTCTGCCAAACATACTAAAGAAAAGCAGAAAATGTGGTTCAAATGGGAAGATAGGGAAATCCAAAAAAGGAAAATATTAATAATCCTGATTAATGATCTTTAAAAATATATATGTAACTTCTTTATTTTAAAAATGCATTTGAATATCATACACAGATACACATACTACTAGACAGACACAGCCTCACTGTGGGCCCTGATTTCACAGAGTTCTGAATGAAACTTTCTGGAAAAACAACTGGTTAAACTGCACAGACATGAGTTTGGCAAGTGCCTACCAGTTTACATGCTCCCTAGAGCTTCAAGAAGTAAGTCATTGACAAGAATTGACATGATGAGACTTCCACACTAGAGAATCATTCATTTATTAATAATTATTTAGAACCTAGTAAATGCCATGCACAATCGGTACTCTGGATAAAATGGTCAGCAGGGTTATGGTTCCTACATTCTAATGGAACCTACAATCTAGTACCTTACAGGGAAATTTACAAGCATATGATTCAAAACAACCAGTAACTAAATATTAATGAATAATGCCTATTATTATTATAAATGTGAATAAATGACAACTAATACCCCTTTGATAAGAATGCACAAAGAAAAATATTTCTGGAGGGTTCTTTGGCAATATCTACCCAAAATGTAAATATACACTCAGGAAAAAAAAGTCTTCATACAATATTTACATATATTCGCAAAATTCCACAAAGAAATTGTGCATTGACAGTAATAGTGAAAATAAACAGGGTCTCAAAATTATTCAGAAATGAGCTTCTGAAATACTTCATTGTGAGCTTAGACCTTCCTCTCATCTCCAACATGGAGAAAAGCTTGTATTAATTTCACTAAGGCAAATACCAAGCAATGGAAGGGCAAAGTATTTTTACGTGAAAAGGAAACAAAAAATAAGCACAGACTGCCACAAAACAGGAGCTACCAGAGAACAAAGTGTTTGTGGAGATTAGAGTACTAAATTTGAAAACTCAGCAGAAGGTCTTAATCAACAAGGCTATAAAGCAACAGGGCAACATTTTGAAAGTTCCAAGAATAAAAATATTTTGTTCCTAGAATTCTAGTGTGTTTCTGTTTTCCCATAGAATTCTATTCTATAGCTAAATTATTATTACTCAAGTGCAAAAGAAAAGCAGCATTCTCTGACACCCATATACCCTTTTGGGGTTGGGGGTGGGATGAATTGCTTAAGAATTCCAAAAAATGATATTCATCAAGAGATACAAGAGTAAAATCCAAGAAAATGTTGAAATTGCAGCTGTGCAATTTAAAGCAAATATTAAAAATTACCAAACTAGAATTATGTTGTTTTAATAGTGGAAATACGATATTAAAAGATATCCATTTTATCTTCTCTTATAAATGATAAGAAAGGACTCTATTTTAATTCATAATGTAGGGAAGATATATAAAGATGAGAACTGGCATATTCTACAGGATTGTTAGGTATTTTCTTCAGGCAGTATTTCTTCCTGAAAAACTGAAAATAAACATTTCATGTTTATTTAAATCACACTTTATAAGCACACTTTCTTATTTGAGTTCATATACAACCTAAAGTCTTTTAAGAAGAGAGAGCTGGTTAATCCAGTAAGAACATTCCAAATGATTTAATAAAGATCTTGGCAGTAAAGGGGGACAGGAGAAGAGAACAGGATCCCAACCCACTACCCCTACACACACACCCCTTCCTGTTTTAAGCTGCCAACCCCAAGTCACTTCACCACTAGTCAGTTAGCTGCAAACAACTACACAGCTCAATGCTCACAAAGGTGTCCGTGATATTTTTTCCTATTATTTTCAATTGTATTATTGTTACTTAATAATTTATTATTTGAGAAAGTTTGTTATAGATTTTAAGTGTGTTTTTATGGCAAGTTCATGTCAATACTTCCTCCACAGATACACACCTTCAATCTAATTACAAAATCTGCTGAGGGAAAATGAGGATGCGCTTTTCATACAGATAGGGCGAGATCTCCAAGAAACTGTTCAATGAAGAAAACATTCTTCGTGTAAAAAAGGGAGAAACGTAAAATATATTTTGTTTAAATATGATAATGTTTGTGCTTATTAATAATATATATTTGTGTTTGCATAGAGAGATTCTGGAAAGAAAGGAGAAGGGACATAACAATTTACTGATATGGGGACAGTGGGGAAACCAAGTGGAGAGAGGGGTGGAGGTGGACTTCTTGGTATGTATCTTTTTGGAGTTTTAATTCTTCAGTCATATAAATATCACATCTATTCACAACATTAATTATAAAATGTCAATGTAAACAATAGAAATCACTTTACAACTCTTCAAATATACCCATGTTGCAAACATTATAACTTTGCAAATCTGTTAGTTTCAAGGTCTCTCTAACAACAGATGAGGGCTTGATGAAAACATTTAATCCAAAAGAGACACCGTGAGCGACTGCTAACTACCAACTACGCAACACTGAAGTATCATTTCACACTTGGCAAATGGCTAGCCAGGGCTGTTTTCAACTCCCGACTTAATTTCTTTAACACTGGCTCACATATATCAATCAACAACCCCATCAAAATACACATGAATCACCTATTTCCAGTCCTTAAAATGTATGAGTTTTTGAAAGTGAGCAATCACACTTCACCAATATCAAAAAACAGTCGTTTCAATTTTGTAGCTAAAATAACAAAGGGAACTGTAGAGAAGCTGATACCAAGGGTTATGACCGTCTCTGCAAGATGTTCACCCTCCTGAGGAGCTTTGGTTAGAATTTCTACTTCCCACAGTGCGAGTACTCCCCGTATGTTCATGGCAGATAAACTACATAGATCTTTTTCCTGTGTGTCTACACACTCATCACTTATACTAAGCCAGGAATTCTGGTGTAACACAGTAACTGCATGTAAAGGAATGCCTGATATTTGGGGAGCCCATTCTCAAATGTCACGGAAGAACAAGTCACTGATATCACAGGCCAGGGGAATCCTAAGAATAAAACAGAATTTCCTATAACTGTAGTGCCTATTAAAAAAAAAGAAAGAAAGAAAGAAAATATTTCTTTCCAAGAAAAGTAAGTTTGGTAACCAGTTTGGTAACCATCCAAGATTCATTTTGCATGATATAATGAAATAACCCACATGTAGTGGAGGCTATGGCATCATTTTCAGTGCTTAATGAAACCATATGTGTCATTCGAAGCAATACTATGTGGAAGCACTTATTACCAACAGTATTCCAAAAAGACAAATAGCAGTGTTGCTTGTAAAATAAATTAAAATATAACTTTATTGGGAAGGAAAAAAGGTAATTTTTTGATATGCTGATAAAACTACAAAAGGAAGAAAGGGCCAATATATATTCAATAGCAAATTCCCGTGAGTGGACATAAATTATACTTCACTGCCACTTTAGTGACAATTATTTAACTAAAATGATCTCTGACCAAAGGTTGAAGCAAGACATGCTTTGTGACCCCAAAGAGTTTATCACAGAAATTCAGGACAGCCAATGGCTACTAAAATGTTCTGGTTTCACCACCTCCTTCTCTAAAAGCCTTCCTAATTTCAATCAAAAGATATTTCAGGTATTTGGCAAAATGAAGAGGAATGTTACCAAAGGAGAGGGAAAGCTCAATGTCATGAAAGGCTGTGGAAAATCTCCAGATTACAGAAAGCAAGAGACGTGACAACTAACTGCAATGCCCACCTTAGACTGGACCCCGAGCTGGAGCGAGAAGGCTACAGAGAACACCACGCGGCCGACTCACAAGTAGAGTGTGGACAGAGGTTAGAAAAAAGTACTGTACCCATGTAAATTCAACAGCGATAACTGTTTCATTGTAGTTGCATAAGAGAATATCCCTATTTTCAGGAAATACACATTCCAGAACTTAGGAGTAAAGGGCCATGGTGTATGTCATCTACCCTCAAACTTGCAAGCGTTCAGGGGAAAACCTTCGCTGTGTACGTGTGCACACCCACATCTGTGTGTCTCGGTGATACCAGCGCAAGTGGACAGAGGATTCAAGCACACACAAATGATTAAGCAAATGGGGTTAAATCTTAACAGCAGGTCCATCCAGGTAAAGGAGTACCTGGGGCTTCTCTGTATCGTTATTCTTTTTACAACCTTTGTTAAGCTTGAAATTATCTCCAAAAAACTTTTTCAGTTAACACTGAAAATTGTGAGATTTTTGAGGAAAATCCTTATATGAGTGTGAAGTATATATTAATATATTTTATTTTATTTTTTTTTGAGACAGAGTCTCACTTTGTTGCCCAGGCTAGAGTGAGTGCCGTAGCGTCGGCCTGGCTCACGGCAACCTCAATCTCCAGGGCTCAGCGATCCTTCTGCCTCAGCCTCCCGAGTAGCTGGGACTACAGGCATGCGCCACCATGCCCGGCTCATTTTTTGTATATATATATTTTAGTTGGTCAATTAATTTATTTCTATTTTTGGTAGAGACGGGGTCTCGCTCAGGCTGGTTTCGAACTCCTGACATTGAGCAATCCGCCCGCCTCGGCCTCCCAAAGTGCTAGGATTACAGGCGTGAGCCACCACGCCCGGCCTATTAATATATTTTAAAATCTGCTAAATGAGTGGGAGGAATTGTAGATGCTTAGGTAAAATAAAGATGAAAACAATTCTGTGCCTGACTTCACAAGACTTATAATCTAGTGGAGAAGGGAATGCCACTGACCATGTGAATTAGTTTGTCCTATAGTAGAACGAGATAAAATATAGCAGAATTAAGTTAGCACAGGAGAATAAAAAGTAGGAACAGAACAAGTTCATTCTTGTATTTTCAAAGCCCAGTGCAGGGCCTAAGAGACACACAGATGCTTGTTGGTAAGAATAAAAGCAGGTGCCTGAGGGTCATCTGTGAGCCACACTGCATTCGACAGGTACACTGCTGTTAGCACCTTCACTGTCTAACAGCCACATCGATGCTACAAGGTAGACACTGCGAGTTCCCCTGTTTTAAGCAACTCCAGCCAGAAATGGAGGAATACTGGAGTCAAAAGGAGGAACTAGAAAGCATCATCAAATGCCCCTTTTCCATGCCCTGATGTTCACAAGACGTGCCCGTGGTCAGTACGTAATCGCCTGAGGTTGGGGGGCGTGTTTTGCCTGCAAGCGCTTTAGGCGCCCACATTCCCCTTCTAGGGGAAGGAAGACTGGGCGCTAGAGCAACTACTCCCCTGCGCGAGGAACAAAGCTGAACTTCCCCTCACAGCCCACCCGGCCCACCCAGGCTTTCCAAACTCCCACTGTTCACTGGTTTACTTTCTGGTCCTTTCTAAAGAAGACATGAAAAAATATATATACAGGAAACACTTCAAGGAAAGGGGGCTGGACAGGAACAGAAGTCACCGGCTGAGCAGCCTGCTGGCTCCGCCCTGCCTGCGCTACCTTGCGAGGGCGCTGGAGGCCCGCAGGGCCGGGGCCTGTGGCTGCAGGGCCACGAGTGGCCCTCCAGGTCCCCCAGCACAGCACAGCCCCTCGATCTAATCCAAACCCCTTCACTGAAAGAATCTGTTCTGTGAAACCTGGACTCAGTCAGAAGGCCGCGCGTGGCCCCGAGGCCGCAGGCGCCGGGGAGGGGCAGCACGGGAGACGCCAGCGCCCGTGCTCAAGGGTCACAGACTGGCACTCAGACACAAAGACAGACTGCAATCGCGCCGTCCTGGAAAGCTGCCTGCTGCTCCCCTGCACAATCCTCAGCTCGGCTCTGCGGCTCTACCGCGGCCCGGCCACCACTCGGTGCCTCAGGAGAAAGCGGGGACCAGCACCACAGCCCGCACCGGCGCTGCAGCAGCAGCCCCGCCTTCCGCCTTCCCAACGCCTCACCTCTCCAGAAACGCAAACACACATGTAGGTCGTTCCCAATCAACGTTCTCTGCCTTCAAAGGGACTGCTGGGAATAGGGGATCAGCCTCCGAGCTAAGTACATCATCAATAAACACCAGCCCCACAGAGTCAAACGGCATAACCAAGTCACAGCCAGCACACCAAACGCTGGAAAGTGCAAGGTCTTCGCCTCCCTCTTTTCCAGATCCAAATAAGTCGAATCTGGAAGATGTGAGGAAACATTAAGGAGTAATAGACTATTTTGAGTGATAAAAGCCTTAATTTCATCTATTGAATGAGTGCATACTGGACTAGATAATATCCAAAGTTCTTCCCATCTCCAAAAGGATCTCTTGGGATTAAGAAATGTGGGTTTGAAAATATTTACCAGTCTGGGTGCCATGGCCTCACACCT